TAGGGAGTTCTGAGGTCTCTGTGTCAGAGGAGGGGTGGTTTGAGGGTGCTCCGGGCACTTGAGAGCCCAGTCTGTACCATGCCACTTCAGCCATGAAACTGCCTGTAATTGCACTGTTTGTGACAGTCCTGCAGTGAGTTCTGGAGCAAGAGAGGATTCTGTGCAGGTCAGCCTGACCTTTTGTCTCACCAGTTCCTCTGCTCTTTGCTCAAGTGCTTCCCTTGGGTGTCTGCAGGGCTGGATTTGTTTTGGCAACTCCCACTCTGGACAAGGTGGTTTGTAAATACTACTAGAGCTTTTGTGGTGCTGCAGAACTGGGAGGGACTGTGTTAGTGGCTCTGTAAGACCAGGCTTAGCTTAATTTGTGTTCAGTTCAGGATGTTTTGGGTCATCAGATCCACACATCCTGGATCTCAAAGACCCGCTACTATCTTTAATCTGTTCTGGAAGCACCAGCTCCTCCCTTTCCTTATCGGTGAGGATCTGCATTGTGTCAGGCTCCTTTATCTGATGCTGTTAACAATGCGGTGTGAATGCTCTGTATCCTTCCTGACTGAGATCCTGCAGAGCCCCTGGCCCCCTGCGAGGAGCAGGCTCACGAGAGGCGCAGCAGAGGGGCTAAAGGTCAGATCCCTCCCCTGATTTCAGGGCTTGGAATTCCACTCGAGGCAGTTTCACAAGCAGGTGTTTTGCCCTCTTAACACCCCTGGCTGGAAGGCAAGTGCTGTCTTAAAGATGTTGTAGTTGCATCTCCCAGTAAAAACACTCTGTCATCTGGTTTGTGATGGCATAAGCCCAGGTCTGTGGGGTGCTGACCTGTCAGAGCTGTAGCAGATGCCTTGACAGACAGGTGAATGTGTTGAAATGTCCTGATGCTCCTTGGCAAGAGGAGCTCAAGTTCCTAAATGCTCATGGATGAAGATAAAGCATCCACACCCCTTTGGTAAACACATGGCTTTATGCTTCCCTGGTATAAAGTGGTTCTTTCTGCCCCAAAATCTCTGTAGCTTTGCCCCTCCCAAAAGGTGACAGTGAGGCCTCTCTGAGCCAGTTCCCCACAGCACTTTCTATGAACTGGATGCTTCTGTCACCTGGGATGGGGTGGGGACAGTCTGGCCTGTCTTTGGGGTGATATCCTTGCTGGTGTTACCTATCCACTCTTCCTTTCTCTGCTGCTGGGTGCCATCTCACATGGTAAGTCAAAGGTAGTTCCAGCCGTGTGTCTGCCTTCGACCTCTCACCAGCCCTGAGCAGATCCTGGTGCCCAGGGCAGCCCCAGTGCCCCGAGCATGGGACTCAAGGGGAGCCAGGGCTGCAGAAGAGGTGATGGAGAGCAAAGGAGACAATTGTGAGCCTCCAGTTGGGAGGTGGCAGATCTCAGGGAGCTGGTGAAAGGCCCCAGGGCTTTGGCACGTGTTGGCAGAGGTATTTCCTTAGCTGTGCTGCTCAGAACGTGGTGTGCAGTGTTTGTTTTGATATCACAACGTGTGGGGAGGGAGAAGGGCTTCCTGCTGCTGCTGCTTAAAGCCTGGTTCCTGAAACATCCTGTTTGGCTTCCCCTTTACCTGCTGTGAGTGTGCTGGGATCTGGGAGCCATCCCAAGTCCTGGTGCCGTGGAGGCGAGCGTAGTGGATGGATCAGGGCAGCAGATCTCACCAGAGGAGCTCTACCCTCCCCAGTGGTGGTGGAATGGCTGCCTGGAATGCAGTTCCCACTGCTTTAAGGGGAGGCAGAGGTCACTTTCTGTGTCCTCTCCCCTGACTGTTTTTTGTTTTCTCTTTCTGTGCTGTCCTGAATGTGAAGATGATGATGGAGGCTCTGCACCACTGTAAGTACCTTGCCTCTTCCTATTTCGCTAGATTTACACTGGTAGATCTCATCCAGCCGGGGAATCTGCTCCAGAGATAAAAGCTTTATGCAAAGATAAAAGCTGGCTGGTATGGGATAATACTCAGTGGGAGGAGATGTAACCCCATGGTTCATTTAATGTCCCCATGTGTAAACCACACGTAGCTGGGGTGGCACCAGAGTCTGACCCTGCTCTGGGATCTGATCTGCACCCTCTGCTTGGACCTGAGTTACATTAATGGGTGAGGGGTGGTGGTGGGGGAACTTCCTGCTCTCCCTTTCCTCATACCCCTTCTCCCTTCCCAGGAAGAGCAATGCCACAAACCACAAGGACAAGAACGTCCGCCAGAGAAACGCAAACTAAGAGCAGGGCCAGGTGAGTGCCAGGGCAGAGCCTGGAGCAAGAGCTGCAGCATCTGGGTCTGCTGAGGGTCTCTGGAAGAAGCCAAAGGCTCTCCTGGCACAGCATGGGCTCCACCAGCCCCTTCCAACCCAGTGCAGCTGTACTGGTGCAACAGGGTTTATCTAACTGGCTTTTCTTTCTCTCCTGCCAGGTGATGTGTAGAGGAAGAACTCGTCTGGACAACTTTATTTTCTTTTAATTTTTTGGTAAAATAGCACCATGGAATATTCTAGTGCGTCCTTGCGATTCAGTTACTTCACTTTCTAAGGAAACTTAAGTTGTAGAATATAAAATACACTTTTTTTTTTTTTTTTTTTTTAAAGAGTCGTGGGAGGGTTTTTCTACCTGTAAATGTAAATCCTTTGTTCCTGGTAGTGTAGGTCTCTGGCTGTCTCTGTCCTAGGTTATTTCATGTTGGTACAGAGTGGGGAGGAGGGGTGGGAGTGCCGCTGTGTCCCACCTGCTTGTGGGGATGAGGGAGGAGCTGCTTTGGTGGCTGTTGGGGGATGACCTGATCTGACCAGAGGGCTCAGGAAGGGGTTCTGTGTCTTTCCCAGTGCGTCACCAGGAGCAAGGCTGCACCTTTCCCTGACAAAGGGCTCGTTCCTGGCATGTCCCTGTCGGGCATATTCCCAAGCAGCTCCTGCTGAGCTGTTCGTGGTTACTGTTAAACAGGCAGCCAGGAGCTAGATGCTGGATAAATGATTGCTGTAACTTATTCCATGGGTTGTTCATGTCTCTGCAGTGGGGAGGGGCAGGGTGAGCTGGGGCTGGGGGTGATTTTAAGTTTTAACAGCGTGTGCTTGTGCTTGAGCCAGCGCAGTGTGTGCGTGACGTGGGGGTCTGTGAGCAGACGAGTGCTCAGGGGAGTCTAACACCTTTTACTGCTGGGTAGCATTGAACTGTTCCATCTGTTAACACTTCACAAATAAAGATGATTCCTCTCTCTTTTTCCACCTCTGGACTCTGGTCTCTTCCCTCTGGGCCGCCTGACCCTCTGACTGCAGAACACAATGTTGTGTCTGGGTCTGGTGCCAGCTCTGGCTGCCCTCTAATTGCTGAGGAGATGCAGCTCGGGTGTAAAAGCTTTCATGGAGAGAGGGAGGCTCTGCAGAGCCTTGAGGAGCCTGAGGCATTCGTGCCTGTATGGGACAATCTCCCCTTGCCCTTCTCCACAGTTCCTCAGGTCTTGTGGCTGTGGGGTCAAGGATCAGCCTCAGCTTCGAGGAGCCCTCACAGGCCCTGTAACTTCGGTAAGCAGGTTCTCTCTGTTTGTTTGGTTTTTTTCCTGCCCTTTGTGGTTGGAGAGAGCAAAGGTGTGACACCTTTATGCACAGAGCAGGGCCCTGGGGCCCGGACAGGATGTGGTGGGGGAGGTCCCTTCTCTGCTGGCAGTCCTGGGCTCAGGGGGCTTCTGCCAGCATTCCTGCCCCTGGAGTGAGGCAGCAGAGCCCATGGGCTGAAGAGAAGCTACCCTGTGCTCCCAGCTGAGGTACTTCTGTCTGCTTCATTCTGGGCACGTAACTGAACCATGGCCTTGCTCTGTAGCCAGATGCTTGTCCCTGCCTGGGATGGGACAAAGGGGGAGCACGGCTGTGGTGGCAACCCTGTGCCCTGAGAGGTGGTGGCAGGTCTGGTGGCTGTGCCATCACAGTGAAGGCAGTGTGGCTCTGTGCCGTGTAAATAGGTTATGCAAGGCTTTCACAGCCCGGCCTTGCGCCATCCTGGTGAAAAATCAATGCATGGTTTAATTTCCTTTATGAGGATTATGGGTCCTGTCTGACCCTGCTCTAGGCTGCAGCACAAAGCAGCACTTGTGCCATTTGTTTGACTGGGCAGGGGATGGAGCTGGCATCGTGCTGCTCTGGGCTGTGTTGCAGTTGCCCTGGTGAGCTGTGGCACAGCCCCGTCATGGCCCAGGGGCTGCCACGTCGAACCTTAGGCAGGGATGGCACAAACAGGCCCCTGGTGTGGTGGCCCATCGTGTCCCAGACAGAGAGCAGGTGCTCCAAGCTCCACAGGGACCCTGCTCAGCCCCTGTTTCCCGATGCCTCGCCGTGAGTCCTGAGCTGCAGCCTCCCGTTCAGGTTAAGCTGAATCAGTGTCTCCACGGGCTGGGGGTGGCAGTGCTCTGCCCAGGAATGGTTTGGAGAAATGGGCTGCTGTTGGGGGCAGCCGTGCCGAACCTGGGACGTGAAGTTGCAGAACGAGGCCGCTGTGGTCCACAGCGCGACTTTTGGGGTGTCTCCTGCCCTGGGGCTCAGTACAGGGCCCGCGGTTGTTGGTGCCCGCCCCGGGCACAGCGCTGGCTCCGCCGTGGCCGCGGGACGCGCTCCGGGTGCGGTTCTGTCCCGTGGCACCAGGTGGTGCCACCGCCGCGGCCGCGCTGCCCAAGCGGCTCCGTGACCCGACGGGGCTCTCCCGGAGCCGCGGGCTCGGGCCGGGGCAGCTCTGGCCCCGTGTCCGCCTGCTCGGGGCGCACCCGGGCTGCTCACTCCGGCCATCCCTGACACCTCGCCGCCCTGGCGAGCTGCAGAGGGACGAGCCCGTTCCCGTGGAAGAGGGCAAGAAGTGCTGGTCCCGATGTCCCGTTCTTCCAGAGCATCAGCTCCCTTGGCGGGTGTCCGGTATCCAACTTTGAGTGCTGGCGCTCGCTTGGGGCGCCGGTCCGGGGTCTCCATCCCCGGGTATACTTTGGGGAATTCCTCCTGACACCGACTGAGTTCAGAGGGGTCTCAGCGCTGGAGCGATGGGTCCTTGGGGCGCTGGGAGAGCAAAGCTCCCGTACCTGGCGCGGCGATGGGGTCCATCCCTCATCCGGGGTAAGCAGTGCTCCGCTCCCTCGGCGGCAAGTCGGATGGGCTGGCGGCAGCGGAGCCCCGCGGGGAGAGCGGCCGGCCCCGCGCCACACCACACCGGGGACTGCGTTGCCAGAATCCGGGACCGTCGGGTCGGACAGGGGATGGCCCGTCCCAGTGGCCGGTCCCGGCAGCCGGTCCCACCGACAAGGGCTGCACCGGCGGGGGGAGCTGCGGAGCCGCCCGGCCCCCGGCCCAGCCCCACCGCCCGCCCCCGGCCCGCCCCGGCCCGCCCCCGCCGCGGCGGCGGGCGCCACTCGGCCGCCGGTGGCCTCGGCGGCGGCAGCGGCGGCAGGATGCGGGCGGGCCGCGGCGCGGCGGGCGGGGAGGCAGCGGCCGAGGAGGAGGCGGCCGATGGAGCCAAGCGCGGCGGGGCGGTGGCGACGGGGCGGGCGCGGGGCCGCGGAGGGAAGGGGTCCCCGAACGGCGAGTGCCGTCGCGGGGAACCGCCGCGCAGCCCCGGCCCGGAGCCGCCCCGCGAGCCCAAGGTCTCCTTCTCCTGCGGCGGCGGCGGCGCATCCCCCGGCGGGGCCAAGGCGGCCGAGGAGGGGGCGAGCGAGGATGCGGCCGAGGAGGTCCGCGGGAGCCAGGCCAGCTTCATGCAGCGGCAGTTCGGGGCGATGCTCCAGCCCGGCGTCAACAAGTTCTCGCTGCGGATGTTCGGCTCGCAGAAGGCGGTGGAGAGGGAGCAGGAGCGCGTCAAGTCGGCGGGGGCCTGGATCATCCATCCCTACAGCGACTTCAGGTGCGGGGGTACCCGCGGGGTTCGGCCGCATCCCGCATCCCGCGGGGCCGGGCATCGGGCCGGGCCGGGCCGGGGAGCGGGGCCGCCGGTGCGGCCGGGCCGAGGGCACCTTGAGCCACCACCGGGCGCGGGAGGGAACGAGCCAGGCATGCCAGGCATCCCCCTCCCCAGCGTAGCAGCCGCCGCTCCGGGGATGCCGGGAGCCCTCGCGGTGCCTGGGCAAGGGCATCCCCTCGTCCCCTTGTCCTTCCCGGGGCCTCGGCAGGTTCGGCCTGGCTTGGCCCTCCTGAGCCCCACCGGGCCTTGGCTCTGTCCCCCGAGCTCCCTGGGGTTCGGTGTCCTCCTCCCTGGGCAGGGCTGGGGCTGGGCAGGGGGCCGTGCTTTGCCGCTGCCTGGCAGAGCGTTGTGGAGGCTCTCCCCTCCCCCAAGGAGGCCTGATTCTGTCCCTGGGGTTCAGCCGGTTTGAGGGGGATTCTTCTCGCTCCTGAGGAGACTCGAGTCTCCGAGATCCAGCCTGTGTGTCTGCCAGGCGAGGAATGACAAACCAGGGAGGAAGGCTCTGCAGCTCCATCTCCTTCCCATCCCCTGAGCCCTGGCGAGCTCCAGAGTGGCAAATGCTTCCCCAGTCGTGTGAAAGCTACCGGGAGGGATGGCTGCGCTGTCTGGGACAGGCAGCCTGGCATCTTGCAGGGATGGGGATGCCGAGACCCTGCTGGCATTGCTGCTGAGCCAGCACTGGGAGGACCCTGGTCCAGAGACCTCAAAGGGGCTGGAGGAGCCTTTGACCAGGGGCTGGGGGGAGCCAAGGGGCTCGGCCTCAAGTCGTTGTGCTGCGGTGCTGGTGAGAGGTTTGGGGTGATTCAAGGGAGGGTTTGCTGGGTGCCTGAGTGGGGGATCCCCTGAGACAGATCTCAGATTCTGTTCACTGCTGACACTGATGGGTCCCTGTGGGCTGGGGCTCCCTGAGGCAGGTGGAGGTGGCCATGGGCTCAGGGCAGGGACCAGCACTTTTACCTCCTGCTTTCACCCTCGTGTGCTGCTCCTGGGCTGCTCTGGCATCTTCCAGAGGAGCAGTTGGAGGCCTTTGGTCTCCCCTCAGGGCTGACGTCCTGCAGAGGGTTTTGAGCCCTTCCACCATGGGAACCCAGTGGAGCCCCCAGCTCATCTCGCTGCCTGGGCACTGGGTTCTGCTGCAGATTTGGGGTGAGAAGTGGCCACACCACCTGGCCACTGCCCGTCCTGTGGCAGAGGGAGCTCCACTGTCCCTGCCGTGACAGAGCAGAGGTGGCAGTGCCAGGTGGATCCTGGGGCTGCTGAGCAGGAGGACTTGGCCCCTCCTCATTCGCTGTGCTCCTCCTCACCCTCAGCAGCTGTGGGATGTTGGGGGAGGCTGGGGCTGGGGTGATCCTCATGCCTGCACGGGGGCAGAGCCTGCCCTGCTTCTCTGAGCTGGCAGAGCCATGGCACTGGTGGCAGAGCGGGGATCTCCCTCTGGTGAGCCTGCAGTGGGCTTGAGGCCTCAGAGGATTCCCCAGAGTGCAGCAGCATCACTCCCTGGGCTGGTGCTTGCAGCGGGCAGGTGGGTCCTGGAGTGACCTTGGGGAGTCACCCTGGCTGTCCTGTCCTGCATGGGCTTCATCCTCCTGGAACCTGGAACTATCGAGACTTGAAACCCATTGGGGCAGAGTGGCTGCCTGTGTTTTGATGCTGGAAGTGGCGTAGGAGAGTTCCCTGCCCAGTGGGGAGGAGCTGCAGGCAGAGCCATGGCATCCTCCAGCTCCACAACTGTGCACAGGAACAGGATCGGCCCACGCGAGGCTGGGCTGAGGAACCCGCTCTGCCTGTGCGCGCTGGGGACATGGGTGCATCCCTCCCATGTTGTCCTGCCTTAAAATAATCAAAAAAAGGCATTTATCCGTTAATGATAATGGAGTGTGACCTGGTCGTGTTTGCCCTGTAAAACCCATTTCCTATCTTAAGAGAAAATCATTACCCATCTGCATCTGTGACATCATTTCATAATCGGCATCATTTAGCAACCCTGGCTCCTCACAGCCATGGTGCTGCCATCGTTCACACACAATTCAGGGCAGATTTGCTCCAGGAACCAAAGTTGCTATTTACATAAATATTGAATGACGAGGAAGCAATCAGGGCGGCTGGTGAGATCCTGAGCTGCAAAATCTGATCAAAGAGACCTTGTAAGTGTGTGCTGGAGCAGGGCCACCTCCTTTTGGGTGCTGGGCAATGATTATCACTGACTTTGCCACTTCTGGTCTCTGGAGGAACAGCCAAGCCAGCACCAACTCCTTCATTGCTTCTTTTGGGGTTTCTGCACCAGCCTTGAGCATCGCTTTGGGAGCTGCAGGAGCTGCAGCTGGTGGTTTGGAGGTGGTGGCAGTGTCCATCACTCTGTGACCACCAAAGGGCTGCCCAAGGGTTACTCCAGCCTTCCACAAGGCTGGGCTGGGACTGGCGTTGGAGCTGAGCAGGAGATTCTCATGATGATGATTTTCTGTTGCAAGAACCGTTCCTGCATGTGAATCAGGGGCAAAGATGCTTCCAGAGCAAGTCCCTGGTGTTGCTTGGCTGGAGCTTTCCCCACCCAGGTTTAAATGCTTTCAGGGGCTTTCCCTCTGCCTGGATGATGCCAGCATAGAGGCTCCTGAGCAGGGACTGGGCTCTCCCTCCCGGTGTGTGTGGCAGCTCTGGCGCTGATGTTGGTGTTCCCATTCTCTGTGGTGAGGGTGTTGGGGAGCTGGGCCCCTCCCTCTGCAGCGTCAGTTGCTCAAAGCCACCGCTCAAGGGGAGGACAGGCTGTGACCGTCTTGGGGGATGGTGAAGGTTTGGGTCCTTGAGCAGTTTGCAAAGCCTTTATCCCCCCTTCCCCAGGGACTCCCGGGGGTAAAAGGTTTTTTCAGGGGAGAGGGTACCAGTCATTCATCACAGCTGGCTGTACTGGGATCTGGGGCTACAGACGGTGCATTGGCCATCACTGCTCATCAGCTTGGGCAAACTTCTGCCATTGACTCCGCAGCCCACTTCTCACAGCAACCTCATTTTTAGAATGTGATTGTTTAGTGCGAGTTTGCAAAATGCTGATCCTGCCTCAATCCTGCTCCAGTCCCACACCGATCTTTGACTGATCCCATGCTGCTCCTGCCCACCAGGCAGCCTGGTTTGCATCTGTGCCCCATCAGAGCCAAAGGGCTCAGAGCTCAGGGGCAGAGGGGGGTCTAAAGGAGCTCTGTCCAACCTGGTGCCTGTCCCATGGGATCAGCACGGACAGGAGTGGTTGGATCATCCCTGGCAATCCCTGGAGCTCTGAGTGCTGCCAGTGGAGTTAAGCAGGGATCACTCTGGCATACCGTGGCCATGCCTCCCTCCTGGGCTTGGACCCTACTCTTACCTTGCCCAGGACCTCAGACCAGCACCACCGTGCCAGGCATTGGGCGGGTGATGGAGCAGGAAGGTGGCAGCTGCCTCTCGCAGGGGCTTTGGGCATCTCCTGTCATCATCACTGTCATACAATTGGGTCAGAAGCGAGGGAGGGGTGACGAGGATCCTGATTAATTTGTTTTCAGATATTTTTAGTAGCCTGGATTGGATCTTTTTTCTATGCACATGAACCTTGTAAGGAAGAAAGCGTTGTCATCGCACGCCCGTCCCCAGGGCGATCGCACAGGGTCAGTTGTGTGCAGTGGGCGATCAGGAGCAGTTTATCTTTCTCCACAGGCCGAATTCTGCCCTGGCTCAGCCAGATTGCAGAGGGATTGGAGCCAGAGGGGAGTTTTGCCCAGCTGGCGTGGTTATTTAATCTTTGTTCTTCGCAGCTTTGCATGGCTAATGCCCCTGTGGGACCCACGCAGCACAGCAGGGTCAGTCTGAGCGAGAGCTGCCAGCGGGTTTAGGGACAGATCCAGCCCCACAGCAGCTCTGCTGATTTTGGCATCCCTGGGAGGTCGTGCCGTGCATGGGAACCCAGGGGTCCAGCTGGGCCTGTTTGGTGCCACAGCCAGAGCTCAGTGTAGGGGTGCACGGGGAGCACAGCTCCTCTGCCGAGGGTACCCTGGGGACCGCCCTGGTGTGAAGTCATCGTTTTGCAGCAGTGACATCACTCACGGTTGCCACGGCAATGTCTCACATGAGGAAGGTGTCATTGGAGAAAGGTCAGGAGCTGGGATGCTCAGCTCCTTCTCGTCCTGCGCTAGTCTGCGCAGTGGGGGGGAGGTGGGCGGGGGGACACGGACGGACCTGGCCCATCTTCCCTTCCTGTGTGCGTGCGTGGGGGTCTCCTCCTCGTCTCCCCGTCCCCCAGGGCACAGCGTGTCCGGAGCACAGCGTGGCCATGGCACCCCCAGCCCATCACCCTGCAGCTCCCAGAGTGGGCTGAGCAAGATGCGTGGGCGAGGGTCCCGCGTGTCCCTGCACGTGGCACTGAGAAGGATCCCCCCGCTCCTGCCCCCCGGCCAGGCGAGGCAGGGCCGAGGTGGCCTCCGCGTCATCCTGCCGTGACAGAGCTGCTGTGACCTTGCAGATGCTCATAAAGGTCATCGGTGGCCCGGGAGAGGAGGACAAGGAGAAAGGGGAGAAGGATGGGGTGAGGCAGGAGGGAGCAGCGCAGCCCAGGCAGGGCCAGGGGCGGAGGCGGCCGCCCACCCCCCCACCGCCCTCGCGTCTGGCCGGGGCTGCGGGCGCTGCCGCCGCCAGCTGCAGCCGTACGTGCTCCGCTGCACCGGAGCCGCGGCGGCTCCTTCCACCGCGCCCGCGCTGCGGGGCCGACGCGCAGACCCCACCCTGGCAGCCCCAAACCGCGACCCAGCCTGGCCCAGGGAGGCGCCGGGGTGAGGTGGCCCCGGCTGTCCCTGGGGACTGTCCCCTGTCCTTGGATCCCCACTCTGGGAGCACAGAAAGCGGGGGCTGGGCTCTCGGATACTGATTCTACCCGCGACCTTCTGCATTGCCTTGTTTGGGGGTCCCCAGCCCACGGGATGCCCCTGGGTAGCTCATCTGGAGCGTGTCCCCCACCAGTGTTTGGTGCCATCATTCTCCCCTCCCACAGGACCTGGTGCCACGGGGCCAAATCAGACCAGCAGAAGCCCTCAGCCCCATGCTCTGCCTCAATCAGGAGCTCTACTGATTGCAGGATCACCCTGGGGGCAGTTTGGAGAGCGGGGAGCAGGATGTGTTCTCTGGGGAGACAAAGGGGTTCGTGTGGCTGAGGTGGCATTAGAGTGACGGTAGCCCAGTGGTGCAGGTCCCTTAGGGCAGGGCATGGTGGCTGGGTCCCCTTGGTATGGGGGGACTCTGGGGCACATCCCCCAACATTTTCTCGCTCCCCAGGTTTTACTGGGACTTCACGATGCTGCTCTTCATGGTCGGCAACCTGATCATCATTCCTGTGGGCATCACCTTCTTCAAGGAGGAGACCACGGCCCCCTGGATCGTGTTCAATGTGGTCTCTGACACCTTCTTCCTGATGGACCTGGTGCTGAACTTCCGGACAGGGATTGTCATTGAGGACAACACAGAAATCATCCTGGACCCCGAGAAGATCAAGAAGAAGTACCTCAAGACTTGGTTTGTGGTGGACTTTGTCTCCTCCATCCCTGTGGACTACGTTTTCCTCATTGTGGAGAAGGGCATAGACTCAGAGGTGTATAAGACAGCCCGCGCCCTCCGCATCGTCCGGTTCACCAAGATCCTCAGCCTCCTGCGGCTCCTCCGCCTCTCCCGGCTCATCCGCTACATCCACCAGTGGGAGGAGGTGAGGACCTGCTCTGGGACCCTCTGGCAGCAGCTGGAGAGAGTGGGAGCTGGAGGGGCCCTGTGAGCGCAGTGGTTCCCTGACAAACTGGCAGGGTGGAGAGGATCTGTGAGGGTGTGTGTGGGGCTGGTGGTGGCTGTGACCCTCCCTGGAGGGTTTGGGGCATCTCTGAGCTGTGATATAGCACCCACCGTGGGTACCAGTAGGACCTTGTCCCCCTGCTCAGCTCAGTGCCTCCTGCCTCTCTCCTCTCTGGCTCTCTACCCCACCAGGAGCTCGGGGAGCACTGGGGAGGACAGCAGGACCCCCAGCCCTTCAGGGTCCCCAGCTTTGAGGGTCTATCCTGCTTTGAGGGGACATGCTCAGGTTTGCTGCATGGCTCTGGCCCAAGCCCTGCACTCAGTGCCCTGGGAGCTGCCCTGCTCCCTCCTTGGTGCCCAGAGTATTTGTGTCTCCCTGATCCTTGTCAAGGCTCGTTGCCATTAGCGCTTCCCGGGCAGCACCCACCAGCTATAAATAGGCAGGTGGAGCACAGCCACCTCGAGGCAGGAGCCAGGCCAGCCACGAGAGCCTCTTCCAGCTAAGGCCATGCAAGTCAGTGCCCTGAGCAGGGCTGGACAGTCTCCAGGCTCATCTGCTATCCCACCCACCCACAGATCTTCCACATGACCTACGACCTGGCCAGCGCAGTGATGAGGATCATCAACCTCATCGGGATGATGCTGCTGCTCTGCCACTGGGATGGCTGCCTCCAGTTCCTGGTGCCCATGCTGCAGGATTTCCCCCAGAATTGCTGGGTCTCCATCAATGGGATGGTGGTGAGTTCCATTTGCCCCACACTGTGCTCCTGCCCATCCCCATGTCATCCATCCTCCAGCCCCAGGAGATGCTATCCCCTGTGGGCCAGGGCTGGTGCATGGAGCACCCAGCCCCGGATGCTGCCCTGGTGAGGTCTCACAAGACCTGGAGCAGTGGATTGATTTGGGTGGAAGGAATATGCTGACATGGGGCTCTTGGCCCCATCCCCTGCCGCCTTCTCCTGCTCATTAGCCACAAAGCTGCTATTAATAAATAATGGCCCCTGTTTCTAATTGCTCCCTCTCAGCCTTGCAGCATCCTGCAAATGGCCCTTTCCTCCTGTCTGTCTCATCCTGTTTCATCAAATTTCCATCTCTGCTCTGTTCCGCCTGGCTTCCTCCTCTTCCTCCCCTGCCTGTCTCACCCTTCTCCTTCCTTGCCTACTTCGCCAGGGGAGTTTAGAAAGTTTGAAAAGTTTGCTTTTCAACAAATTCCTCTTGCTGGGAGAGAACTGGGACTGTGGCCAGGCGTGAGCCAGGACGCTGTGCCCTCCAGCGATGCTCACACACACACACACACAGACGTGCATGGCTGAGCTGTTGTCCCTGTCACTGCAGAACGACTCTTGGAGTGAGCTGTACTCCTTCGCCCTCTTCAAGTCCATGAGCCACATGCTCTGCATCGGCTACGGGAAGCAGGCACCCGAGAGCATGACGGACATCTGGCTGACCATGCTGAGCATGATCGTGGGGGCCACCTGCTACGCCATGTTCATTGGCCACGCCACCGCCCTCATCCAGTCGCTGGACTCCTCCCGGCGCCAGTACCAGGAGAAGGTAGGATTGTGCTGGATGGGGCTCACAGCTTTGTCCCCTCCTGGAGCTGTAGCTACGTGGGGTGAAGGTTGCTGGTCAGGAGCAGGAGTGGGGCGATGGAGTGGGACCAGCCCCATGGAGTGGGGATGTGGGTGGAGGGTCCCAGCTGACTCCACCTCTCCCCACAGTACAAGCAGGTGGAGCAGTACATGTCCTTCCACAAGCTGCCCGCTGACTTCCGCCAGAAGATCCACGACTACTATGAGCATCGCTACCAGGGCAAGATGTTTGATGAGGACAGCATTCTGGGGGAGCTCAACGAGCCCCTGCGTGAGGTGAGGGCTGGAGAGCTGGGAGGAGGACGCTGCTGTGAGGATGGATATTGTCCCCCCTTGCCAAGGGAAGGGATCCCTTGCTCCTTGCTGTGGGTCCCACCAGCTCCTGCCATGCACATGCTTGGGGTTAAACGCCTCTTGCTGCAGCTTTGCAGCTCTGTTGGGAGTGTGTCCATGCACAATCTGCATGCCAGAGTGTCCATGAGACTGTCTGGGGTGGGGAGCGTGTCCCTGGGGAAGCACATCCCAGCTTCCTGGGCTCACCCACTTCCCCACAGGAAATCGTGAACTTCAACTGCCGCAAGCTGGTGGCCTCCATGCCGCTGTTTGCCAACGCCGACCCCAACTTCGTCACGGCAATGCTCACCAAGCTGAAGTTTGAGGTGTTCCAGCCGGGTGACTACATCATCCGAGAGGGCACCATCGGCAAGAAGATGTACTTCATCCAGCACGGGGTGGTCAGCATCCTCACTAAGGGCAACAAGGAGATGAAACTCTCTGATGGTTCCTACTTTGGGGGTGAGCACTGGCAGGACTGAGCTTCTCGGGGGGTCTGTGAGAGGCACTGGGACACCTGTGCTGTCCCAGGGCGCCCACTGTGTGGTGATTCTCACACCCTGCTCCTGGCCTGCCCTGTTTTGTCCTCGATGGTGGTGTTGTGACCTTGGCCCTGGCGTTTTTCCCCCAGAGATCTGCTTGCTGACCCGCGGCCGGCGCACGGCCAGTGTCCGTGCAGATACCTACTGCCGCCTCTACTCACTCTCAGTGGACAACTTCAACGAGGTGCTGGAGGAGTACCCCATGATGAGACGGGCCTTTGAGACTGTGGCCATCGACCGTCTCGACCGCATCGGTAGGACACAGAGTGGGGCCTGGAGAGTGAGAGGGGGTGTCTTGGTAAAGGGGGCAGCTGTGGTTCCCATGGGAGCCCAGCATAGCCCCAGTACAGGGTCTCACAGTGCTTCCTCTCCCGGCCTGTAGGGAAGAAGAACTCAATCCTGCTCCACAAAGTGCAGCACGACCTCAACTCAGGTGTCTTCAACAACCAGGAGAACGAGATCATCCAGGAGATCGTCAAGTACGACCGGGAGATGGTGCAGCAGGCGGAGCTGCAGCAGCACACGGCCATGTACAGCCCCGTCCAGCCCCAGGTCACCTCTGCCATCGCCACCCTCCAGCAAGCCGTCGCCATGAGCTTCTGCCCGCAGATGGCCAGCCCGCTGGTGGGCTCCATGGCGCTGGGCTCGCCCCGCATGATGCGCCGCTTGCAGTACGCCCAGGCCGTGCCCAGCCCCTTCGCCGTGTCCCCCGTCCTGCTGCAGCAGAGCCCCCCGCCGCAGCCGCAGCCCCCCGTGCCCCACGCCAACCCCTCGCCCTCGCAGGACCCGGCGCAGCCCACGGCCCTGCCCGCCTCCACCAGCGCCTTCGCCGCGGCCGCGGCCAGCCCGCCATCCCAAAGCCCGCTGGCCAGCCGGACGTTCGCCTATGCAGGTGCCCCAGGGCCGCTGGGCTCCCAGCTGTCCCTCAGCCAGCAGCCAGCGCCCAGCTCGCCCCAGCGCCTGGCCGCCCACAAGAGCACACAGGCGCTGCACACCAGCAGCCTCAGCCAGGATTCGCGGCCCCTCTCGGCCTCGCAGCCCTCGCTGCCCCACGGGCTGGCGGCCGGCAGCACCCAGAGCCCCCCGGCCTCTGCCCGCGAGTCCAGCACCTCCATCGGAGGGGGCCCGGCCGCCGCCTCGCCGGGCCCTGGCCCTCCGGCCGGGCTGCGGGGCCAGGCACCCTCGCGGGGGGCCCCGGCCCACCCGGCGCCCACGGGCTCGGGGCTGACACCGCCGCCCGCCCTGCCGCAGGACTCGGCGGCGGCCCGCAAGGATTCGGCGTCCAGCACGCCCGACACGGACCCGGCCAAGTCCAGGCTGTCTTCCAACTTGTGACCTCCGCGCCAGGCACGGGGAGGGCCGGCGGCAGGGAGTCCCATCTCACCTCGTGTCCACCCTGCGCCGCCGGGTGAGGGCCACGGCCGCACCACCGGCTGCCGCCCCCCGCCACGGCGCCAGCCGCGCTCCCCGGTCCCTCCTGCCACCGCTGCACAGCGGGGCAGCTGCCGAGGGTGGGCCTGGGGCTGCTGTGCCCTCCCCCCCACCGCGGGGTCACTGGGCTGAGCCCCCGGGTTTGTCATCTCCGACCAAAGTCTGACCCTGTCGCCCGCTCCCCGCGGCGAAGCCCCGCTGCCCCCTGACCTCCCCGGCTGCCCATAGAAGCCACAGCTGCATCCTCGCCATGACCAACTCTGTGTATGATATCTATGACCTGAACACATCCCTGTGTGTGACCCGCAGGACACCTTCCCGGGGCTGTTGGCGCAGCCCCGGCTCCGCGCGTGTCCCTGCGCCCCTCTCACAGACCCAAGGCGAGGGGCGATGGTCCAGGACTGGAGGTAAGTTGGGAAGGGTCTGAGGGATGGTCGCCCCGAGGCTTGTAAGCACCCACGAACACACTGTCCCCCACTCTGGGGCTGGGGGTGAGCACGGCCCCATGTCCCCGTAGGCAGCGCTAGGACGGAGGCAGGTGCTGGAGCCCGAGCCCTGGGGCTGGGGCAGGCACCTACCCAGTGTACCAGGTGCCTGTGCGTGTGTTGTGTGTGCGTGTGTGGGTGTGTGTGCAGGTGTGTGTGTGTGTGTGTGCACGTGTGCCTCGCTGCCTCGCACTCTGGAGCCTTCCACGTTGAATGTACCGCGAGCGCGGGGCCCATGCCAGCCCCGGCACCCTGCGGCCGAGCAGCCGGAGGGACAAGGGCCCCACTCCAAGTGTCCACCTTCCCATCCAGCCCATCCTGTGCAATAAACGTCAGCAGCTGACAGAGCTACGCACGACTCCGGCTCTGCTTCTTCGCCACCCCTCCCCGCCGCGCCTCCTGCTCCTTGTGCTGGCCCCGGGAGCTGGAACATTGGGCACAGCCCCAGCTCAGGCTGCGGGATGCAGCTTTGTCCTTTGAAGAGCTGCCTGCCTTGCCAGGAAAGCCACAAGGTGAAAAGCCTCTGCTAGCAGCTTTCCCCTTGCTCCAGCAACAGCAGCAGGCAGGAGGAAGCTGGGAGCAGGCTGACTGTGAGCCTGTGGTTATAGGGCACAGCTGAGAACTGGGCCAAACACAGCTCCAGTTGCAAGGTGCCAACCATCTCCAGCACCAGCCCGGTGGAGAGGAGGTCTGAGAAACCACAGTCCGGTGAGAATGAGAGGCTTCTGGCTCGAAAAGCTGCAGTTGGCCCCTGTAAGGGTCCAGTTCCCACTGTAGCTGCACTGGCACAATTCCATGCTTCTGCTACAAAAGCATTTTCAGAATGTGACACCCCTGTGAGCAACCGAAGCCCAACCAGTGAGCAGAACAGGGCCATGCTGGGAGGCAGCAATCCCACCTCCCTGTGCCCTTGGCAAGGTAAGGCAAGAGCCCAGGCACCTCACAGGCTTCAGGCAAAGGTTTCAAGGAAGACACAGGTCCCATCTTGTATTTCAAAAAACATTTTATTTACAATATTATACATGTTGACTCCCAAGTTAGTGGTTTTCCCTGCCTGAGCCCCAGTAAGCAGCAGCAAAACCCATCCCTGGAAATGAGAGTCAAGAGTCGCAGAGGCTGCACTATGGAGAGTGAGGAGAGTGCCCAGAGCTGGAGCAGAGCACAGAGCAGCACCTGCCCTGTGGCCAAGAGCAGAGCTGGGGCTCCTGCTGTGGCCAGGTCAGTTGCCTGTCCCTCCAAGCCTGAGCCCTGCTGGCAGAGAGGGAAGGAGAGGGACAGCACCCCAGGACAGGCAACAGCCAGGCAAAGGACAGTGCTCACAACACTGGGGTGAGGGCTGAGGGGAGCCACCCTGTCACCTGCCACCCCTTCACCCCCAGCCCGAAGCTGCTCCCTCTGCAGGGCTTGGTGCCCTCTCCCTGTGCTGGGACAGGCAGTGACAGCAAACAATGCAGAGCCCCTGTCCCCCACTAGCTGCTCCAGCAGAGTCTCAGTTTGCCCCAGCACCTGAGTGAGGCAGGGCTCTCGCTGGGCTGGAAGCTACAGCTCCTTCCCCATGAGATGTGGGACAGAAGAGCACTGCAGGCCAGTGCCCACCATGGCTGGATGTCCAGAGGTATCCAGGGCTGCCAGGGCTCAGCTGAAGAAATATGTGGAATCCATCACCTGCTGCAGGTTGAATTCACCTGAGGGGAGCAAAGGAGAGCAAGGTGGGGATGGACAGGGGGAGAAAAGTGGCTTCATGAAGGATCCCTGCTCCTGGACTGTGCTGCCCATGGAGTGCTGGGCCACTCCACACAGAGGTCAGGCAGAGCCAGATGGCCTGGCAGACACAGGGCTGAGGGATTAGGAGGAGTTAAACTAATTGCCTTAATCCCATTGCATGTATATCATCTAGATCCTGGCAATTACCATGCCGAGTCCCTCACTCCCATCTCCGAGCAAATGCTTATGGGTTGGAAACAGATGGGAGCGGAACAGGAACAGGATGGGAAAAGCTGGGTCAGCCTGGGGGAAATCCCAGAGACTCAGCAAGGATGGCAGGGACCACTCACAAGAATGCTACAGGGGAATGTGGACATGCTGGACTGCTCAGCCTCATGGCTCTGCAATCCAGCACAGAAGGGGAAAGCTGATCCTAGGAGACAGCTCTGTTTTTTTGTCTTTTGGTGGTCTTGGGGGCCACTCCATCTCATTCCCCTTGTCTCCAAAAGGCTCCTGAGCCCTTCACGTTCCTCTTCCATGATCCTACCTGTCCTGGGGACATTTGACAGCTGCTCCATCAGTCTCTTCTGCCAATGGGCTATGGGCTCTGTGCTGGAGCTGGATGAACTAGAAGGAAGAAAATAAACGGGTTGTCTGGAACCAGGCACACTCTCCTCTGCTCCCTAGTGCAGCCCCTGACAACAGGATTCAGCTCTTCCAAAACAGACCATGCACCCCAGGGTGAGGGCAGGCCCCAAGGCTGCCAAACCCTTCCCTGGTTCTGCAGCAAGAGGGTGCAGAGCCCTTGGTTTTTACCCAGCTATTGAAGGTGATTTGGGTGTCAGACAGGAAGGAAGGACAGCTTCCCCCCCAGAGCAATCTCCAGGCAGGTGACACAACCTGTGAGCACCTGGACACGACCTCTGGGAGGTGGCGGGGAAAAACCAACAGGTCAGGAATACCTGCAATACTTCTCCAGCATGAACTCAGACAGATCCTGCAGAATCTTCTCACTGTGCAGAGCCACAAACTGCTGCCGACAGACCTGACCCAAGGAGACAACAGTGAGGTACAGCTTAGCAGGTGTTTTCCCTCCTTCTCCCAGTGACAGGTCAGAGGTGAGGGGCAGGGGAAGCAGCAGGAGTGGGAAGGGGGGGGTGAAGGGAATAAGCCTGGGGAGGTGTGAAGCAGAGGTTGACCCTCATTAGCACAAAAACCCTTGGGAAGGACCCAGGACAGGGCAGGGGCACCAGCTCTGCCAGGGCTGTGTTTAGAGCTCGCTTCCACAGATTCTCCCCCCAACACTCCCTGCAGAGCGGGAGGAGATGGGGCACTAGGAAATCAGCTGTGACCGCCAGCAAACATCCCAGGTTCACCTCACCCGGGTGAATCAATCAGCCTATGGAGCAAAGCCCAGGGGAGGCGAGGCCTGGCATGGGCCCAGAGCACAGATCAGCAAGATCTTGCTCACAAGGGAGCCAGGAGGACACTTTTACCTGGTTCATGACATCCACAGTGAGCGCGTGAGTCCAGTAACAGTCGTGGACTGAGACAAAGGTCAGGCCCTTCCTGGGAGGAAGCAAAGGTGCCATGAAGCTGTGCTGAGACCCCTCTGTGTGATGAACCCACCCCATGTAGAACCTCTGCCTGGGACAGCAGCAGGGACCACATAAGAGGGGGACTCCCTGCACAGCAGCTCTTCAGAGGGAGGGGGCAAATCCCAGGATCTCCCTGTCCCTATCCTGCTGCCTCCTTTCCTTCTCTAGCAGGAACCCCAAGTGCCCACCCACCAGGGACTCCTCAGTCCCACTGCCCCAGCAATGTTCTCCCAGGACAGGGAAGAGCCATGTGAGAGCCCAGGTGCCCACTGCCTACCTGAGGCAGTGCAGTGCTGTGAGCATCATGTGTGTGGAGTCCAGAGAGTGGATGAAGTTGGGGGGAAAGGCATTCTTCTGCTTCACAGTGTCAGGTTTCCTGCAGGACAAAGCGGGGCACAGAGGAGTTGGGGCATTTCAGGGCCAAAGATGACACTGGCACAGAGGCAGTGCCACCCCAACCTGGGGGTGAGGGGGCTGCCCTGGAGGGCCCCAAGGCCCTGCTGCTCTGTTCAGCTTTCTGCAGCTCAGGAGGAATAACAGGAGCTGTGGCACTCCTTGACAGCTTCCCGGATAGGAAGGCCTGGTCCCCAGAGCAAAGGCTGGGGTCAGCAGGGGTGCAGTTCAGGCCATGGTTTTGTACTTACTGGCTGCTGTTGGAGCTTCTCACACTCAAGCGTTGCATGCCACAATTCAGCTGTGGGGAGAGAGGGGACTTGTCACTCTGAACTGCCTAGAAGCACGGGGGGCTGGGCACTGCCCCACTCTTCTGCAGAGGGGCCTGTGCCTTTCCAGGGTGTCCCAGCACCACGGCAGCTGCCACTGCTCAGTGACACCTTGCCCAGCAGATCCCCTCCTGAGGGTGCTGGCAGGCATCTGAACCCCTTCGCCCTCGCAGGGTGAATTGGCCCGAGAAGGGCTGCTGGAGCTGGGCTGGGGGGCTGTGAGTCAGCACAGCAGCACGTGGGAGGTGACAGCAGTGAGACTGAGTCACACGAGCCCTGAGGAGGCTCTCAGAGCGGGGAACGGCCCGTGCCCCAGCTGCCTGAGTGGGACGGAGCCGCAGAGCTTCCTCACCAGCCCACCCACACACTCCAGGCTCTGCAGGGAGCCATGAGGC